AACCATTTGAAGTAATATTATAATACGGCAAAGTAAAGAAAAAAAAAAAAAAAAAAAAGAGGAAAAAAGCGAGTCACAAAACGAAACTATTCGCAGCATCCTTCTGCGTTCGAAACTTCGAACAATTAGGTATCAACGAAACTAGTGGAAAAATAAAGAAATTTATTATAATATAATACTTGTTATATTATAGTAAAAGAGGTACTATAAAAAGTGCGTGTGATACGATTGTTTGGACAGTTCAAAGTCGACCGTATGCACGTGTGTATTGTCTGGATTGTGACCAGACCTGCAGAACGAGAGCGCGAGAATCTCTCTCCTCTTTTCCCTTATCGTTCGAAAGTTTCGACGCTTCGTCTGAATTCGAATGGATTAGGAGTCTCGTTTAGGGCTGCGACGGACGCGGGCTGTTGACCAAGAACAGTGATTTTCGTGAAAGTTTAGAACGAGAATTCTTGCGACACCGCCGCACGCGCACCGCGCCGTGTACGTTACGTTAGCGTTTCAGAATTCAAGACCAACATCGAACTCTCGATCCGTTTGGGTGCAGGCAAAGATTAAGGCTGTGAATTTCGAATTTAGGACGTGGGATCCCTGTGATATCGCGATCGTAAAATCATTTCCAAAGATGTGTTCTTCTGCTGCGCGTCCGACAAGGGCCGACGAACCATCGACGCTGAATAGGCTTCACCCAGTCTATTGTTCTTCGTTTGTTTATTTTTTTTTCTCTTTTTTTTTTTCTCTTCCAATTCAGCGAACTTCAAATCAGAAGAAACGCGTCGATGGTTCGTTTTGCACGTTCATCATTAAGAAATTTACATGTGGCGCCTGCTCGAATTTTCGCGGAGAGCATCGCATTGTGTTCACCCGCCGACCGCGAGTCTGTGTTAACTTAATGTTATTTTCTTCTTCTTTTTCTTTTCTTTTTTTTTTTTTTTTTTTTTTTNTTTTTTGTAACGACCATTAAACGTAATGTTAATTTCTTTTTCTCATCCGATCGAGCCTGTAAGTAATTTTAATTATTAATAATTGCGCGTGCCTCCTCTTCGCACGAAATAAATAAATCGATGTATTTGTATTTTCATGGAGATCAGTGAATGCCGTGTGGATACGTCGTACTCACGATCGAAAAGGACGAATATGATTGCGCTTGTGATGTTGTTGCAAGTTAAGAAAAATTACATTGTTCGTTTTTATTCGTCCGTTCGATTCAGGAGTCGATTCAACCTCCCTCCTTTTCGCTCTTCCTTCCCCGTAGGATAGTCATTTCGTACTTTTGCCAGCTACACTCGAAACACTGTCCCGTTAGAAAGAAAGGTAAAGAAAAAGAGACAGAAATTTTGTCGACCTTCGTGCATTTGTAAGAAATTTTGAAATATAAAAAAATATATAAAATGTCCAAAGTATAATGCTTTCTGTAATATTTGGTAAAGGTAAAGCAATTTTCTATACTATTTTTCTAATTACGTTTTCGAAAGTGGAAAAGAATGCACAAAAACCGGTAATTTAATGATAACGAAGAAGAAGGAAGGAACAAAGAAAATTGTACAAAGTGACCGTGATAAAAAATAATAAAAAATAGTAAAAAGAAAGTTATAAGCTATAAGGCTGTAAAAAAAATTAAACTACAGTGTTTCTTATATTATAAAATCGACAGTCTAATGACAGCGCAGAGAAAGAATAAATAAATATAAAATTCTTCGTATAAAATATTCAAGATAATTGTTATGCACCAATTTTTTTTATTTCTCATTCTTCCTGGACTATATTCACAGAAAAATGAAATGGCATAAAAAACCCAGTCTAACAACGATGAAAAAGAAGAAAGAAACAAAATATTCAATGTTAGTACTATCCAAATACCATTTCTCCCATTTGTATTTCTAAAGATATACAAGTCCGCATAAAAATCCGCGATTTGATGACGACAAAGAACAAGAAGAAAGAAGAATGCCTTTCGTCCATTACGAGGAATCGATTTTGTACATTTTTCAAGTCAGAAATATACCCGCCGAGGGAAAGATGAAAAGATTGGAGAAGGTGGAACGAGAATGTGGGCGGAAGCTGGGCTTTGGGATAACAACCGATATACAAGAACAAGACGAAGGAACAGGTATTTAAGAAAAAAGACAGATACGAAAAAGGAGCGAACAGCAACAAAGGAGGGAGGGAGGAGAACGGTATTGAGAAAAGGAGAAACGAAAGAGTCCCGTCGTTTATCCGTTGGACGAAAACTTTCTAAATCGATCGATCTTTCGAACAGGTTAATTATAAAAAGCGTTCGTTCTCGTAAAAAAAAAAAAAAAAAAAAAAAAAAAACAAAAAAAAAAAAACGAAAAAGAAGAAAAAACGCTTGTAACAGATTTGAGTCTCCTCCTCCTATTGGATCAAAAAAAGATGTATTAAAATTACGATCAAATAATAATATTGTAATAGCTTCTGCCAAAACTGAGAAAAGATAAAATTAATAAAATTACAGTAATTGAAATTGATCGTGAAAACAAATTAATTTGATCATAATTTAATGAAAAATTTTTTATTATAAAAATTGTAACAATAAAATTTAAAGATCCTAAAATTGATGAAATTCCAGTCATGTGAATTGAAAAAATTGTAAAATCAACAGATGGAGATGGATGATATAAATATGATGATAATGGAGGAGTAAGTAGTTCATCCGGTTCCTGAATTTGGAAAAAATAAATTATTTAATAATAATAAAAATAAAGATGGTGGAAGTAATCGAAATCTAATATTATTTATTCGTGGAAATCAGCTATATCAGGAAATCCTAATATTAATGGAATTAAAAAATCTAAATCACAATGATCTAAATCACATACAATGATCTAAAATACATACATATATGTGTGTGTAAAAGTCTATGAAATTTGTATCTTATGTTTTATATTTTATTTCTTCTAAAGAACGTAGCAGATTTAAGAGTTATCAAGAATCTACAGAATCTACGAAAAATCTGCGAAAGATTCAAGGGAGAATATTTTATTACGATATTTATTAAAACGAAACAAATTTCCATTTCTTTTAGTCATATTTGTAAAAAAATATAAAACTGTAATGTAACGACGAGTCACCGTGGTATTTTCCATGTTTGCACATGTATGCAAAATCGTGTAAGTATACGAGAAAGTGGAACACATATCAAACTTTTGCTTTTGATCGTGTCGAATAGAGAATAGAGAAATTTCTTATTCAAAGATCCGCGATTTGATTAATAATAAGAGTCACAGTTCGCGTTTTTTTTATCGTGGAACGAACGTCAAACGATGTGGCTTCGGGACGAGCGTGATGCCACACTCGCCTTCGAGATCAACAACTTCGTTCGGTGGTACGGATATAGCGAACGCGCGCAGTATCCTCCCGGCGAACAGGAACAGTATCATCCTAGCGAGTTCCTCTCCCACGCAAACGCGTTTCCCTTTGAACACACACAATGAAATGAAACGATATCGAAGAGATCGGAGGAAAAGAGAAAAGAAAGAAACTTGTAAAAGAAGGAATTGAAGAACGTTCTAAGCGTTTACAAATACTGGAATACCGAAGCAAAATGGTCGTTAAAAAATGTTAAGATTTAGGTATTAGAAGAAGCATATAGACTCTTTTTTTTTATGAGAAACTTGAAGTTCGAAGGTGCATGGAATGCATAGTAATATGCAGAAATATGTAATTGCATTATTGAATCGAACATTAAAAGGAGCAAACAAAGACGAGGGAACAGAAAGTATCTGTAGTGGTCGCGGAGAGAAGTTGAACGAGAGATGAGAAGGGGCGGAAGAAAAGTTGGAGATAATTACCACTTTGAAATGGCAGAAACGATTCCGGTTTGAAGAAACTTCCATCATCGGTTAGGAATCTGTCGGGTCGAAATTCGAGAGGATCTTGCCAGTAAGCGGAATCGGTGTGAACAGCCCACTGCATCGGCACGATCATGGCGCCGCGTGGCACGTCGTAATCACCTATTCGCGTGTCCTAAAACAAACGTCGAGAATTTGGAATTAAATCTGAAATATTAAACAGACTTTGGCTATATAATACGCTAAAGCGATGAGAAAAGTTCGCGTGAGTGTGTGTTCTATTTAACCAGAGTTACAGCTACTTTTGGGTTTCTGGGACCATTTGAAAACTATACTCGACTTAAGAAAAGGAAACGAATTCATTTTTATAAATAGAATGGGATCTTCTTGTAATCGATAATTTTTTTTAAACTAAGCAAACACTAACATTCCTAATTTTTCTATTCTTTTATATCATCTTTATGTGAAATTCTTTAGAACAATAAATAGTTGTTAGCACATGTTCATTTTATTCTAATATAATAGTTCCAATAGGTCATCTTAAATTTTTTGCTTGCATTAATCTACCGTATAATAATGTTAGTTAATTGACAATGATATTAGTCAAGTTTCCTTCTTGCAATTTTTCATCAAGTAGAATATTCAGAATTTACTTGTAACATTTCGTTCGTTTCATTCGCCAGACATTTATATTGGTAGTTTGTTAATAAGTATCCGCTTGCGAAATTTCGCTAATAACGTTAGTTCAATCGTGCAAGATGGCCCAGTTATTGAAATACTAATGAGCAGTACCGTACCTCTGATGTACCACGAGGAAAACCGAGCGGTGTAACACTTCTTATCCTTTGCACCTCGGCTATAGCAGCTTCGAGACGAGGCATGGCGATTCTATCCTCCAAAGTTAGTTGAGCTCCTTCTTTCACACACAGGTCCATCTCCGATTGTATTTTTTCCTGTGAGTGATTACGATTTCAGCAACAAATGCATAGAGAGAATCGCAAGGGAGTTCTACAGTAGTAGTTACAGAGTTTTCCCAAATTTTCTAATAAAATAGTTTTACATTTCCTTTTCTCGTCGTGTCGAAATTTTCGTAGTCATGTAAAAAGTACAGTTAAATCATACAAATCAGATACGTTTTGTTCAACTGATTCACGAAAACACTCGAACATTTTTAAGAACATTTTTGTAAATTCTGAAAAATTGAAACTAGATACTTTGTATAAACTTGGACGTTTATACTTTATGAACATAATTAGTCGATTCTAAATAGATATTTCGTTTGATATTATTATAGAAATATCTATAATGTGTTTCTATAAAATTCCTGTATCATCAGAAATTAAATTGCATGGAATAGGACAAAGTTTTTGATGCAACAAAGAATATCGGCTTTCATCCAAATATTTGACGAAAGATATTTCAAATACGTTGCTGCAAGTCTCTATAAAATTTCTACAAAGAATTACTAGAATTATTGTTAATCGAATTGGCCATTTTTACCATCTCGAAGTTCTATTATTAATAATGTGACTATGGATGTAATAATACTCTACCTTGAATATTTATACATGTTACATGCACTTTGTAGGTTTCATTAACTTTCTTAAACTTAAAAGTTACTAATTATAAAAAAAGTGTAAATGTACCTGCTCCGCGGGATAGGCAGCCATGAATAAGAGGAACCAACGAAGGGTGGTCAAAGTGGTGTCAACTCCAGCACCATAAAGATCCGCCAATAAATGGTACAGTTGAGGTTCCGTAAAAAAGCCAGACTCCGCAGCGTTTCTTTTTCTCATTTGTTCGTCGAATGCCGCCAGGAAGTTGTCAACTTTGTCCGTATTTTCGGAGTTTCTGGTTCGTGCACGGTGCTCGACGAGTATTTGGCGATATACTTCGTGCGTTTTCTCCTTTCCATCGACGATAGACCGTATTGTTCTCTCGTATCTTGGCAAGAATCTGCAGAATAATTTCGAAGCGCAAGCGTATTATTTTACTTCTTAATTTCAGTTCTGTCGTTTAAAATTTTGACATTTAAATATTTCCATGGTTCATCATTGGAGCCATTAGTTTAGCAAGCGTTTTATTTAGAAATGATAGAAATTCGATAGAGTTTTCAGAGTTGGAGTAAAGTATTAATAAAATAAACGTTAGAGTAACTTTCAGAAGTAAAACATTTGCAATTGAAAAGCAATTGAAAATATTCGCATCGGCTGAACAAACATACTGCTTTCGTTTTGTTGAGTAAAAGTTATACTCTCGTCATGCCATCAGTGTACATAATATATTTCATTTAGTCATTAACAGCCTGCTATTTAATGTTTAACGATTGCTCAAAAATCGTTCGTAAATGAATTTAATATTACTTTTAATGTTGTTTCACAGTCAAACGAAATGAATTTAATATCCTTTCTTTTTTGTGATTAAATGCTAATTATTTTGATATGCACGTTTATTTATATAAAATTTATTTAGAGCCGTTTGCCAACTATTGCATCGTCTCTATCGTTTCAAGCATATTTTTTTCTCGCGAAATTGAATTTTACCTGAGAAAAGGTAAAAAGTTGAGTGGCCCGGCGACACCAATCTGCTTCACTCCTTCTTCCTGCAAATGTCTCAGCCATTTCCAGACCTGTTCCTCCTCCTCGTACGTTTTCCCAAACACGATGCTATTAACGAGATTGCCCATACAGTGATGAAGCGTATCTAATGGATCGATTGGTCCGTCTGCCCCGCGTCTTTCTAGTATCTATCATATTCGAATGGTGGAAATTGTATCGAAAAATTGTGTCGTTTTGAATCCTCCAAAGTTTCATAAATGAATTAGCCAGAGGTAGTAAAATTTTGGAGGTGCAAACTATGGCATACGCAGTAAAACTTTGTTCATTTGTAATGTGTAATTTAGTGTAGCTGCATTTCATTGAGAACTTTTCGTTATATATCACGGTCAAAATTATGACCAATTATAATAAAAAGAAGCAATGTACCGATACGCATTCGTCTGCCGCGTCCAATATTCGTTTCTCCATTCTCTCTCGTTTCGGTCCTTCGTGCTTCACCATCCCAAAATTTCGCAAACAGTTGCCAACGAATTTTCTCTGATCCTTCCATCGTTCTCCCTCTGCACAGACCAATCCTGCACAGAGTCACGCGAAATTTCACTCGTAATTTTAAGTTCGAAATAACAAGATATTTCGTATTATGTATGTAACGGAGAATATTGATAACGTAACGAAGAGATTATAACGAGTTCGTTGACGTTCCTTTAAAAAAACAGTGATCAAAGATCATTGCTTTCGCGCAAGGTTCGTTTAATCAATAATTACACTGTTATCCGTTACAAGTTTGATTAAGTAAGCGAGCATCGGCCTATCGCTTTGGAATATTTTTAATTTCCTTGCGATATTCTAATTTTAATTTTAATGTTCTTGCAGCATTTAAAATTATATTTATAGTACGATTAGAACTCAGGATAAAATGTGGAAGGTAAATGGGGAAAGTTTAAAAAAATGTAGGAGAGAAATAGTGTAAATGAAAATTGCACAATAATCGTAAATAAGAAAAGTACACTCGCATTAATAGATTAGGGATGCTCGTTCAAAATTTATAATAATTTCGCGAAAGAAATCCAAGTGGAAAACTGTTTCCTCAAAATATCAAATATTACAGAAATTGTAAACTGCATTTTGTACATTTTCATTACTTTAAATTTCTCATATCACTTTTATCTATTTTATTTGCTACTCTTTCCCATTCTTTCATATATAGAACAATGAAAAGAGAGATTCACTGTTTTTCCCTTTTTTTCCGCGTAGATTCTGTAAAATTTCGTGAAATTTCAACAGTTCTCTCGGGTCAATCGGTATACATCAGTGATTTCAATTGAACTCACCATATCCTTCCATAATTCCGTGTGTGAGGTACAAAGGCGCTCTGCTGCTCAACGCATCCTTCGCGAACGTTTGCTTTATTATTTGAGGATCGGACAGTATCACGGTGTAAACGGAGCCCATGTAAAATCCGCAAACAGGGCCGTAAACTCTAGCCAATTTCGTTAGGGTTTCGTGTGGTTTCTCTGGATCGATCCATGGAAGATAGCCGACGATCGGAAGTTGCCAGGGACCAGGTGGCAGACGACGCGCTTTCCGATTTGCGTGGAAGATATATACGACGATGGAAACGAATAGAACGAATATCGCGTAAACGAGATTCATCGTGAATCAGTTTTTGTGCACTTCAATGACGCGGATACTTTATTTGATCCGTCGTGGTAACGATATTGATCTCTTCTGGAACTGGATATTTGCTGTTTCTTTTTTTTCTATCTGTAACAAAGAACAAATTGATTGTACAGTTTGTTTCGTCAATTAAAAGATTACAATTTGTAACTTAAAGCGGGTGAGATTAACGTTAACAGATATTAAACAACCTAGTCCCGACGAAAACGACTGACTGACTATTGCCAGTTCGTAAAATGGTGTTGGATTCTACTCGTTGTTTGCTCAAACATGGAAACACGAATGGAAACAGAAACAATTTAAATTTCCGACTATCAAATGGTCGATCGACCGTTTTACATTCGAGGAACGGATGTTTTTCTCTCACTCTGATTTTTAACGAAGCTAAATTTAAAAGGGACGAAAGCACCATCTCTTCGATATATTGAGTGTAAATTCCATCGAAAATTTCCAAGTGATTGCAAATAAAATATCCATGAAAATCAAGTTACATTTATTGTTCAGTATACGTATACACAGCTGTATACGTAAAACGACTGTGAGACAAATAAATTACTTGTTAATTAACAATAACAATATAATAATTAATATTTAATAATATTTATAATATTATTAAATATTATTAAATATTATTAATTTAACAATATATTATGTATATTTATTAATATTATTAAATATAATATTAATAAATTTAGTAATATTATAAAATATATATTTATTATTATTATTAAATATTATTAATTTAATAATATTTAATTTAATATCATATATAAGTAATATATTAAATTTATCTTTATCGTCTTACATATTTAATCGTACATTCAGAGCTTTGTTATTTTAACTTGAAATATCACAATCGAAACAGCGTGCACTCTGAAGCTATCGAAGCTTACTACTGACGCACACTATCGACGTGAATACCTGATCTCATCCGTTCCTTGCTACCTGTCCGTCCGTTCACATCTGATATTTCTTGGCTGAATTCTCCACTTCTTGTTTTTGATGTAAATTCCAAGTCCTTTTCATCATTATGCTAGAATATCGTTGACCTAACTTGGGCCCCTTAGGACGAAAATAGACAGCTAAACGCGACGAGATTTGCCCATCTGATTTATTTGAGACGACTTTAAAAGCTGATTTCGGTTCAAGATATGATTGTTTAAAAGAGAAATTGACGAGCTACAGTGACTTACATAAAGTGTTCGAACAGTTGTGATATGTTATTTGGTTATTTATTTAATTGTTTGACTATTTGATCAATTATTTATTTCATAATAGCTCATTTTATTTATTTATTTAGCGCACATCTTGGAATTTAGTTTAATACATTTTTCACACGAAATTCACACAATTAAAATGGCAATTATTTGATATTTCTTTGTCCACGACTTTATTCATCTCATTTCAATTGTTTTAAAATATTTGCATATAAAAATTGATGAGTAGACAGGAAAATGTATAATATGTTTAGTAAAAATTAATATAGAACGTGAAATAGTCACTTTTATTAAATATAGCTAGCTATTTTCATACTTATAATACTTGTTTCAAATTTGATTAACACAGCCATGATATCTCACGTTCGACAGAATACATTCCACACTTCAATATTACGATATCCTTTTAATTATATTGTCAAAAATATTTGAATTTGCATAAAAATTCGCAGTTGTAAATCTAATTATAGCTTTTGTTAATCTTACGGACGCCGTCACTGTTCTGACACCATCGTTGAGAAGACCGCCAACTTTGCTTCTTCTTTTTCCCCGTGATCAGCAGAAAATTGTGCACGCGTAATTCTAACGCGATTCGTACGTTCAACATGAATTTCTTAGTGTTTGTCTTCTATTTCAACGCTCATATGGTGAAATATTGCTATTTATATGAGAAGAACGAAGAGACAAATTTTTCTCTAGGACAAAAACGCGAAAATGTGAAAACGCAAAAAAAAAAAAAAAAAACCGAGAAGAGATGGATACAAAAGAGCGAAAAAGCGAAGGTGACGATGAAAAAGCAAAGAAATGAAAGGATGAAAAGCGAAAGGGTGAAAAATTGAAAAAAGGCAAAAAGTGAAAAGGCGTGAAAATAAAAATACGAAAGGGTGAAAGCGAAAATACATTCGCAGTCTAGCTACAATATACTGCATATGACTGTATTGACAGTATTTTGCCAATGTATTCTATGAAAATAATTAATAAATTATAGATTCTTCATATCGTGAAAAAGATTCATATTTCTGAAGATTAGTATTACCATACAGTGTAAGTTAAACTTGGACGAACCTAAAGAAATAGAATCCAAATAGAAATTTACTTTATTTATTATACGTTGCAAAAAATACTCTACTTTAGATATTTACATACATTGCCTATTATGTTCATTTGTGTATATTTTTGGAGCTTCAAGTTTTCCATAAATTATCCTCTTTGAGCTTCCAGCTAAATAAATAAAGTAGAATTATTTTACCATTAATTACGAAAATGATCAGTATAGTACTCTGAAACGCTCAAAGGAATGAAATGTCTCCTCGAAACCATTGAAATTATTTTTCCTAGTCTTTTTCGTACGTTCCCTTCTCTCGAAAGTTCAACATGCTATTGACTTCTTTATGCAAGGTGAACGAACCACCCGATTTGAACTCGATATACCTACTCGGCTCAAGCTTTTAATGTAATTTCATTATTTTTCATTTAACCTAAGGACGACTACTCCGAGTTCGATAAAACGAATTTTTCCCCAAGGACCGCGCCGCGCCGGTTAATAATGAACGGTTGGCTGGCTGATGACCGCAGACTTTTTGTCAGCTCTCTTCGAAGGGTATAACGAACTTTATGCTGATCGCAGTCCTCATGGACACGAACCACGTAGTACTTTTTCTTCGTGATTCCTCCCCCCCTTCCACGGTTCATATATACATACACCATCGCGCACGAGTATTTGGACAGTTTCTATTAATAACACAGAAATAACAAAGTGAATTTCGAATCTAAATCAATAATCTCTACAATATAAATTTAATAACAGAGTATACTGAAACGATGCGCACAAAATTCAAACCACGACAATTAATACCACGAAAGTATCGAAGGATAAAGAAGAACGGGGGAAAAGAATTTCATCATTGGACAGCAGGGGTGTGCGGTTTCATTGTGTAAAATTGCCGATGTTACGAAATAAACAACGGTTGATTGATGAAACGTGAAAATAAATATAGCTCTACTCTATATATAATGACACTTGTCGCTCACGCTTGTTTTTACGAAAATAAAACACAGGTGGAGGGGAACACACTCTTGGAAAATGGTAGAGACGCATGTAAAACGCCTCTCTTGCATGGTGTGTGTCCGCCATATAAATTTATTTCAACGACGCTAGAATAAATGGGAGACGACACCGGCAGATACATATCTATGGGGATAATAAATTGGGAAAGTTATAAACGATCTTTGTGTTGTATTCTGCGGAGTGGCGATTGTCAAGGGAGATACCGAGTGGTTGCTGAGATGGCTATGTTTAAAAGGAGAGTTTAATGGTGGAACACGATGCAGGAATGGCGCATAGGTACCAGTCTATCTACTTGTTTCCTCTAATTCGCGGTGGTAAGCAGGTAGAACCGGGGCAACGATCGGCTGGGGTCATTGGCTGGATCCAGTTATCAAGGTTAGGGTCCTTTTCTTTGCACGCGAGAGATCATCGTTTCTCCTCGATAAATTTCTCAAGTTTATTCACCTGCGAGCGCGAGTCGCATCGCGCGACGCGACGTGTCAAGATTGCGGCCGACAACTCTTTGCCTCTCGAGTTTTAATTATTTATCAACTGCCAGGTAAACGATCAACAGCTGGATCGAATATCACGTGCATATCGCGCGTTAATGACGTCGAAGCTTGCAATTAATTTCGTGCGTGTTCCTCGCCGACTGCACGTCTGATCTCGACGGAGCAGGGTGGTTGGTTCGAAAGCCAAAACAAGTTGGATAAGAAATAATCAAATAATCAATCGACAAACAATTCGTTGCATCTTCCAGACAGGCGCAAGAATTTTATGCAAATTCATATTTGTCGAGGATATATAATTAAAAAAACATATAAACATCTAGAAGAAACACTATTTTTTGGATGTTTCATACATTTTCGCATCTTGCTATGCTAGTACCACTATTTCACAACTCTACATTTTTTAAATGTAATATTCGCAATCTGGTAATTATAAAAAAAAAAAAAAGATATACGAAGTAAATATTTTATTTCAACGTAGATAGTTCTATGTATGGTGTATATAGGAGGCTATTTTCAATTTATTTAAGCTCGACAAGTTCAATTTATCACACTCACACAAAAGTCTGATTATTCACGTGGATTTGTTGATTCTAATGTCAAAGATGCTACAGTAGTATTCCTTCGATGAAATAAAAGTCGTTTCTGCTATCAGCCTCCCAATTTTTACGCAGTTACGTTTATCCTCGACGTGGATCCTTCATTTTCTTCCTTCTTTTTTCACTCGAACCGCGTGCGTGCGCGCACCGTTTCTTTTTCGAATGTTGCCCCGTTGTCGCGCCGTATCTTGATCTTTCTGTTGCGAGACCCGTTCACACGGGAGAATTCGCAGATTCGACAGCCGAACCAAACGTGGCCGTGCGGCCAACGACCGCGACTTTCTCCTTTTATGCTAATTTCGTTAATACGCTATTTTCACGACTTTCGTACTTCGCAAGCATGCCACATTTATCGTCTTGTATATCTCCGATATACAGGACGGGCCGACGAACCAAACGAAATATCCCCGGCGAAAGGAGATAATTAAGAAACAGTTCGTTGCTCGCGGTTATTACGTAAAACCATATCGAGGCAATTCGAGGTAAGTTCAACGAATTTTGACGATTACGAGGCTTCGGGCGAACCTGGGGTCGCCATGTGCTGCTGATTATGCAGCTGACAGAACGCTTTGATTGATTTATGGTCGGGAGATACGTGAATTTTATAATTAACGGAGTCGCAATAAATTAATAAATTAGAAGATTGCTTTTGTTAGAAATGATTAATATACAATAATATAATTTATTTTATATTATAATCAGTAGGTATAGGCAAAATCTGGGATTCGTATCGAACGATAGAACGTTTTTTTCCTTATTATCAACGACAATAACTATCATCTATTTTAATTTTTTTAAAATAAAGTTACGTTTTTCTTAGAAAAATAATATTAGACCTCATTTACTGTATCTGTATCACAGAAATAAAATCTATTCCGAATACTTTACAAAATCAATAAAGAATATTTTTAGAAACTGCCGAGTAGAAAAGATTAGAAAAGATTCTAATGTGAATAGAAAGTCACTCTTAAACAAGATTATATTAGACCCTACAGATCCAAGAAAAATATTGGATTTCATCGTCAATCTCATAATCCTCGTCTCGATTCGTTCTACAATGAATTATTTATTTCAATTATTCTACAAAACCGCTTTCAATTAACACGGAAGATTCGTTTCAAATTTTTACCAATTTCGTCTCTCGTTACGATGTCAACAAATTATCAAAATGTTTCGCGCAATGCGTATATATATTCATAAAACATGTTCCCATGTACGAATAATTTCGTGGCCAACCAGTGCGCGCACAACAACCGAAAATAATCCAATTAAAACAGTCTGTTGAAAAGAACAAATCGAACAAGCCCAGAGAGGAGAACAGAGGTTCGAATTACAAAGAAATTCATCAATGGGTCGTCTCACGTTGGTGGTTCTCCAAACTTAATGTATGTGAAAGGTTGGTGTACGAGTGACACGGTGATTCGTGATACGATACAGAGAGTACATACCGAGTTCGTTGCCCTATAAAAGAAGGTGGGTGTTATTGGCCCCGACAGGCGTTTCTGGGTTTATTACCCACCGATCGAAAATTACCGGTGCGCGCGTTTATACCCTATTAAAATCTATCTGTATTATTTCGACTGGCAGCTGATCGCCAGTAGAAAAACACTGGCGAGAAAGAAGAAACACAAGAAGAAGAAGAAAAAGAAAAAGAAAAAGAAAAAGAAAAAGAAAAAGAAAAAGAAAAGGAATTATGGAACGCACCTTTCGAAATTTCTCCTCCGAAAGGTAATACATCGGGCACGACGAGGTAATACGTCGATGAAAGCATTTTAATGTCTTTTGAAGCCATCCGATGGTTTTACACGCTATACGAGTGTTTCTAACAGGCAGCGCATACTTGCCTGCCTTTACCGTCTTACTTTCTCTTTAATTCCCTTTAAACCCTCCAGTTTTCTTTACGCACACTCGCCTCCAGTAAGTAAGCACTGTTCCTCCTTTTCTTTCATTCTTTCATTCTTTGATACTTTCACGGACGGAGATGCTCGATTTCGTGCAAAGTCGGGGTACAAAGGAGTCGATGTTACGCTCTTTCGTTGTACGTTGCCTGACAGTCAATTTTACTTCGAGTGAACGATCCAACTATTTTTTTCTCTTTTCTTTTTTTAGAATAACGAAGCATTCTTTGATTTTCGGATGAGATGTATATATTGTTCTTGAATTTAACTAATCATTTACCACTTGTTGTGTTCTATCAATTGTTACTTGTCGTTATTTTTATGTTATATATTTAATATGACATAAATATATATAAATATATATTATATTGTAATATAAATATACATAAATATATATTATAGTATAATATAATTATACAGAAATATATATTATATATATAACGTTATATATATGTTATCATATTTATATTTATTATTATATCATTTTATGAATTTATACAATTCTAAATACACTATAAATAATTATACTTCAATATGCCCTAAAATTTTCAATAGATGGTGTATAGAAATAGTAATCCATTGTAAAATGGATATTAATAAACTCACAAAACTACTATAGAAGACGTTATAGATTACTTTTACTTATTGTCTTATTAGATACATACGAGCACCAAATATATTAATTATATATTAATAATAAAGAATTCCAAATATAACTGAGAAATATAAAAACGATGCATGAAGGGAAATAGAGATGAATGAAAATTGGCAACAGTCTCAGAGACAGACTATGATTAAAAAGTCACCACAAGAGAAATGATTAGACTGAAGATTTTTATGCTATATTTTTGAAAATATAGCTAAGTATCAATTTTATATATTTTTCCATATTATACGGAGTCTAGATAAATTTTATACTTTTGGATTTTTTCTTTCTTTCTCAAGTTTTCTGTATTTCTCAATTTCTGTCCAACGCACTTCGTATGAAATAATTTCTACAATTATTATTCTTATTATACAATCATTTCTACAGTTATTCTCAGAAAAGTTCTACCTCGTCGATTCCCATCTACCGGGATTTCGAAACTCAAGATAAAAGTTTAAACTTCAACGAATTTGAGTAAGTGAACACTGTCGAGTGTGTATAACTGTGTATAAGTGTGTTTGACGTGTAATGCCCGAGTGTTTGAAGATGTCTCTCGTTTAAATGCTGAGTGTTTACTGTAGGAAAGTCGAAATATGTCTGCTGCACGAGTACTGAATGTTGTCTCCTGTTTGAATGTTAAATAACACCTACTATACGAGTCTGTCTCTGTGTTTGAATCGGAATACTCGAGCTTCGCTCGATGTGCTCGTACTTCGATACTTTTCCAATCAGCAGTGAACGAAGAAGTATCCGCGACCGATCGACGTTTTTCTTCGAGACGAGAATGGAACGATGCCTAAACTGGCGCGGAGTGTTCGGTGTTTTTCGGAAGAATCGAGGCATTTCCTCCAAGTCAGAAACGTGTCTACCTAAATTACCATTCGGGAGCACCGAGTTTGAGAAAGCAACACGTTTCTTTGCTATTATATGCGAGGAAAAGTCAAAATTCGAAAATGCCGTCTATCACTTCGTCAATATTTTAAGATTTCAACATGAAAACAGCCTTTGTCTACTGCGATCAAGTCGCAACATGCTAATCTGCACGCTTTAACTAATTTCAAATACTGCAATAAGCACTTTAGATATTTTTTATATTTTCGCATAATATCTACAGTCTTGCATATTCAGATTGCCCACAAGTGTACAAATATTTGAAATTGCTTAATAGTTGCACTATACGATAATTTTAATTGCAGAAGCGAAAATTTGATCTGAGTAGAGGAGAATGTGGATGTATACTTTTAATGAGTAACGAAGAGCGAGCAGTCATTCAATTTTCATTTCGAAATCTTCCGTTAATAATAATAACACTCTACTATTAAATTAAATTTCAACATTTCCTACGAATGCGAACCTATTCTGATACTCGATCAACTACATTAACGGTGCAATAAGTCATCTGCTAGCAACAGATGATTCTCTAGTTACTAACAAACATTCTGCTCTGATCACGTGACACACTCGAATGTTAAATTGAGATATTCGAAAACTAGAGGTTCTCCCATCGTCTCCTATCTTAACAATCATTTCTGTTACAGTGTACTGACACTAAGAAGCCAATGATAATATTCCAACGGGCCTTCTCGAGCCGAGTTTTACAGAGTCAAGTCACATTTCAATGAACTCGCTCGACAACGAGTGAACGTACCGATGAAAACAGGTGGATAAAGATAGTTAGCCGGGGATGACGACGACGTAGAGTCATCGAGACGATAAAAATATACCTACAGAAGCCGAGAACGATGACGATAGCGGTGGCAATAGCCGACGAGACGACGATAATAGCGGTAGCGATGTCGCTTCTGCTGTCTCTTCTAGAGTCGGGGCTGGTTGTTCGTCAGCATGGCTATACGGTACAAAGCTTCTTTAGTGGGGATGGAGGACACTTTCACTCTCACAGGTGTATGACCGAGTCGAGAGCTCGGAAATACTTGTTACCTGAACGAGTATCGCCGAGGGAAGAAAAGGGGGGCAGGACATGGGAATGGAAGGGGTGGAAGGGGGGCGATGATGATGCGAGAAAGAGATCGCGAGAGCGTGAAAGAAAGAGGGAGTGATGGTAGAAGGGGTGGACACAAAGAGACGTGGCGAATAAATGGGATAAGTGACAGAGTTGTTTAATTTTCGCTCGATTATCTGCTAAATTGGATGTGTCGTTTCGCCGAAGAAAATTATGAACGTCGTTGGATTTATTGTTGAATTAATTGTACTGTACATGCCTGTACTGTGTTGCACATTATACCTACTATATCTAAATATATACAACTTTTGTAGAAAGGGTTTTTAATCTTTATAACTTTTCATTCGATCAATTTTTAATCGTGTTTGCCAAGATGAAAGCAACCTTCGCACCTTACGTTCCTAATCTCTTTTCTATCGTTCGGAGAAAAAGTGCCAATGAAAGAAGAAAAAAGGGAAGGAAAAACGCGAAGAGACGCGTTTGAAATTTCACTGGCATCAGAATGAGATACGATTGTACAGTTATATGGTTGAGTCCAGTTTAAAAATTCATATGGACGTTATAAATGACATTTATTGGAAATGGTCCCTCTGAATATCGAAGTGTTTGAAATACAGCGGGCCTCAATTTTAAATATATTAAAACAATTTCAATTACAAATATATAAAATAATAATTTCAAACATTTGGATTTTAAATAAAAATATGATTCAAATGTCTTCTGCAACCTCTATGTACATTTTCAACTCTGTTTCAGATTTTACTAAATTTTAATAATCACATTATTATTAACGAAAATTTCTAAATATTTCGTGGAACACGGATAATAAATTCCTACAGCTGGCAGTGATCAAATACTTTCGTGAGCCACTGGCGTCGATGAGCAACAAGACAACGACCAAAAGAAAAACGAGAAGATAGAATGCGAGGAGGCTGGACGAGGTCAATGAACCATGAAAGAGTATGGTTTTTTGGTCAGTGTACACATTACCGAAATATATGTTCCCGACGCGGCGAGACGTTCCTGCTGATATTTCCCAGTCGGTCCCAGTCGGTCCCAGTGGGTCAGTGGTTCACGAAGAATCGACATGGTATATCTCTCGAGGATACACGCGAGAAAGATCTGATCTTTTCGCAATACGTTCGGCGTTTCTTCGTATGTCTTTTTTTTTTTATTCTCAGAGTTCGAACATGCGCGTAGAACTTGCAAGATATTGTATATTCTTATGAATTATAATTAGACTGCGTCTGTGACGAATTCAAATATGCACGCAGTACCAATAATGTGCATTAATGCATAAAACATTCAAAGTATTTTAATGGATAAAACCGATAGGTTCCGTTCGTGAAAATAAAAATTCGCGGTCTAATTATAATTATTATATTACGACACTGCGTATCTCGTGTAGATATGATAAAAATAATATTTAGATAATCAACTATCTAATGCATCGACTTCTTAATGGACAGACTTTTTTCTATATCAGTTTTACAGTTGCTCACGAAACGGTTTATGAATATATTATACGTGTTACATAAAACATATTGATATTATCATTAACATTTCATTGCAAAACATAGCGAGAGACAACTGTTATGATAATGTTGGTATTATGTATATAAAAATAGGTATAAGATATAAACAGAGTAGATATATTGGTCAAGTATGAAAATAGATGTAGAAATTTTTAGATATGAAATATTTAATACAAGTGTACATCTTTGACTCTCCTTATCATATAAGATAACTATTCGTGATATATTATAATTTATTATTAAATAAATGTATGTTTAAAATAAATATCATACAATTTCTACACATGACGAAATATAGTCATAATAAAATCGTTTCTCGTATTGCAGTGTTAATGAAATTTCACAACATTTTATGTAACACGCATAACATGTACAAAAAATTTGCGAAAAATGTGGTACTTTTATGAATAATACAAATGAATTTATACACATTATTCAATTGGATAGTATCTTCAATTGTCAAGTAATGAGCGAATATTGCGGTCTTACATAGACTGGACTTTTCTACTTGCCCGTACATGCGAAAGTATTAAGAGATTAATATCTAATATTATACACTTTTGTACATGGTACATCTTACACAATATATGAAAATCTTTAGACTATTCATTACTTCTACCAAAAATAAGCCCACTTGGTAAATTTTCCATGTCTTCAAACTTATCGCTTAAACTTTCGTTTACAAGAAAGAAAATGCTGCTGCACTTGTATTAAATATCTCATAACTTTCATATACATATAAAACATATTTAATACAAGTAAGAGAAGATAAGATTTCAGATTTCTTTCAAACTTTACCAACATAGTCGTGAAAGTCGCGTCTCATAAGAATGGTAATGAAATTTCGGAATGTTTCATGTGCAGTGAAGAAATGATAAATGTTCATGAGGCACATAAAAATCGACAATGATCGTAAGCAGCCTGCGGATTTTTATGCAATTTCAAATTTTTACAAACAGATCTAAAGAAACAGAATTTACTTCGTTTAATCTTAACGAGGACTTCATTTTATAAATTTGTATATATCGCGACCGCATTCCGTGTCTTCAAATATCGCGTAAATGCACGATAATTTGCTAAATTCGTTTAATCACGAGATAATTAATCATACGAACGAGATTTCACGCGAAGACGAAGACGAGCGAAAAATAGAGAGAAACGAATCTCGAATCGTTCGGACCAGTCGAACGTTAGCCCGTCGTACCTACTTGAAAAAGGTATACCGATCGTTACAGACGCGAAAGAACCATTCTGCTTGCTTGCGGTTCCAAGAAATCCGGTTAGAATTTAGGCTATGTGGAGCTCCTACTCGAATCTGGAACAGGCTGGTCATCGACCTTGCTTGGATCGCTCTTTGAAAAGATTTTCAAGCGTGATTACAAGTTTACCAATGATTGTCTTCGACACGCGACACCAGACATTCCTGCCCTTTCCATGCGCTTTACGGCTATTCGAAAATCAAAATGTAGAACTGTTACTTCTTCTCTCTATTTTTCTCCTTTCTTTTTGCAACTGGGGGCTCGAATGCGTATCGAATTCTTTGGTCGATAGATGTCGATTCGAAAGTCTTTCTTCGTCGGAAGGATTTGCAAACAAATGTGAGACTCTTTTTGACTTTTGTCTTTGAATATAACGAAGGATATGTAGGAACAACGACGATCGAGGCGGAGATCGAAAGCTAACAAGAATACAGCGAGAGAGCGCGAAAGCAGGGGAGAAAGGCACGAAATGATTCCGAGATGACATGTCCATATACTGAATTACACGACTAACTACCGAATCATTTTGACCTACATAGGTATACACGATACCGATTTCGTCGTTGTCATCTTATCTTCTATCTCATCGCTATCGTGCTGATTTTTTGTCCCCAGTTGAAGATTATAAGAGAAGATGAACATGAACATAAGTCATATTTTTTTTATTCTTTGCAGGATTATTATAGCAAAGACTTGAGAGTTTAAACTACTACTATTAAAGGGAGAATTAATTCTACTTACGTAGAATTGTGACTTTGTAAATACGTTTGGCTATTATTTCTTGGAGATTCTATTTCTTAATATTGTTCAAAGAAAATTTTTTTCTAAGTTTTGATTGTGTTGCTTTTGACACAAACGTCTGATGCGACGAGCTTTGTACTCTGTCACTTGTTTTCTGATAATCATCACTCTTAAAGAATAGTTCAATCTAATCATCTAGTTCAATATAGTTCAATCTTGATTTCGTTCTCTTCTTAATCCTCTTAAAATTTAATTTATTGATAAGCGAACGCAAGATTAGAAAGAATAAATAAATAAATCGCAAAATCATATTAAGTAAATTCATGCAACAAAGAAAAACAAAATAGAATCTTAGTAGAACAATAAATATAAGTCTAATAGAAAGCTCGTAAATTATAAATGATTGATTTGAACTTTACAGAAATGAATGATTACAATGAGATGTGCTATCATTTTGTTCCTACACCATCGAGTAATATTAAAATAATATTACTTAATTTTAATATTACTAATCAAGTAATATTAAAATAAAAAAAAAATCAACGAAAATGCACTACTCACGTTTTTTTTTCTAGTGCTCTCTAAACGGTTATAGAGATAATTTTCAGTTGTAAATATATGTAGCTGAGTAGATAAAACAAATTTGTATTCTCTTCGCGATCCCGTTATCATCCACCATAAATTTGCATTGATATATTAGAAGAAAATGGGAAAGTACTACTTTGAATAGAACGGAAACGCGTTGGGTTTTGACATGAATTTTCATTATTACCAGCATATAGACTTAAACGACCTAATACCACAGATATCTCACAGAATACATGAAGTGAATTTGAAAGCATAACATTTTAGAAAGAAAATATTTAAAGAAATATAATAAAACAAGTTACAGAGATATTTTCACCCCCCCCCCCCTTTAATTATTTACTTTGAACGACTGATATTGTTTTGCGATACAAATTTAAAAATCCTCATCAACGATAATGAACAATGAATAAGCAATGATTAAGCTTAATTAATTCGCGTTGACATGAATCTTTATTGTGAAAGTTTGAAGTCGCCAATTAGAGAATACTTTTGTGACTCTCAGACACACAAAAGAGATATTTCCATGATTAAGAAATCTATTGGTTTGTTGAGTCGCAGTTTCTCAAAATAAGAAATAAGACTCGATACAATGGAACTCAATTCAAAATGAACCCCTATCCACTTGCCTGAACGTGAGCTCGTTATGCGAACGAAAAATCGCCAGTAGGGAGAATCACTCTTATCATTTAATTCTATAGATTATTTGTGCCACATCGGAAATGATTGTGCATATCGGTTGCGAGAAAGTTTTACCAAATAACGTTTGATAATGAATGACACGAGGAAAGGGTAAAACACGTGTGTATTTGCTC